GTTCGTTCTCTCTCTCTCTCTCTCTCTCTCTCTCTCTCTCTCTCTCTCTCTCTCTCTCAGTTTTCTATAGTTAACACCCCATGAAATCCTATAGATTATACAAAGAATGTGAAGAATCAAAACTACTTTAGTTAACCTTTTCTTATTCCATGGCAGTAAAACAAAGAAGAGAATTTTTGCCAGTAAAAAGGATGTTGTTGATATTTTTATTAAATGACGAGGGTAATTATGAAGTGAAACTCTGGATACTTAATTAGTATAAATGCCTCTGTCTGCTAGTGAAAATATCAACACTAACCTTTTTATGACAAAATGCCCTTATTCACTTCATAGCCATGGAATTCAAAAAGGGGTGATTAAAGTAATTTTGATGGGTCAGCCCCTTTCTAAATGCAACCTATAGGATTTCATGTGTTGCTAACTGTAGAAAAACTGGTATGTGCTGGTTTGCTTGCACACACACAATGAGAGAAGGAGAGAGGGGTACAAACACATGCTCTCACATATATCTCACACACAAAAGTAACACACATGCAAACACATACACATGCATTCCTAGTCATTCAATGTGAGTTGATTCCTGGTCATCGGGTCCGGTGAACAAATATGTATGTCAAGCCTAGTGTGAGACGCGAGTTTTTCAACACTGATGTTGGTTTCCTTATTTTCTTTCAGCTTCCTAAGTTAGTTAGGGTCCTTTATGCTAAGTTGGCTTTCCTTTTTGTTATCAGAGTTTTGGTCAAATTGGGTTTACTTGCAGTCCAAGTACAATATGATTAGGAGTCCAAAGCTCTTATATATGCAAGGGGCCCCTGCCAGATAATGCTTTTTGTTTTTTTTGACAAGGTTACATAGGAATGGAACGTAAGACGTTGAGCTATGAAAGCCTAGCCTCTATCGTCTTGACCCAAGCCCGTTTCCTTAATTGATGAAATTGCTTCCTTGCAAGCTTTGATGGTGTTGATTCCATCTTCTTTGGGGTGCTTATCCAAACCCTATTTCTAGAATGGTGCCAATTCTATACTATGCTAGGTCCTTTTATCTTCATCCTAATCCTTCATTTGTATGGTTTTGATTCCTTACAAAGTTTAGGTCCTTTCTCTACCTGCGTTTCACGCCACCTTCTTTCAGAACTAATTCATCTTTAAACAAGTCATGCGGTAACCATTTCTTAAGACCTAGCATCCCCTGCTTCCTTTGCTTTGCACCTCTATGTTCATCTCAAATCCATCTGAAACTCTGCATCCATCCATGCCTCCAAGCAACCCTAAATCATAGATCATCTATCCACACCACCTCTAAGAAAAACACCCAAGTTGTAGATCAGCTATTAATGCCATCCCTAGCATCCCTCCAACCAACCACACTCAACCCTCCAGCCATACACACTAATACCTTTTCACCCTTCCCAAACCCTAACCCTATTTGAACAAAACTTTTCACGTAGTTAATCAAATTTTTGTAGTACCAAACCCCATATATACTTGTGTGGGATCATCCCTTTGTGTTTGAATGCTTGTGTGTTCAGTATGCATGATTTCGGTGTGTCTGTATATGTTCCAGCCTATCGTCATGATTTACCCTTTTTTTTATTTTTGATGCAGTCGTTTTTTATGCAGTCATGATACCCTTTTTTTCTATTTAAGAAATAAACATTTCATCAGTTTTCATTGTGGTCCTCTGTCCATCACATAGGAAGAGCTGAGGTTGATGTTTATTTCCTTTTATCATTACCAGTGCAGGTGAGCCTCTTAATGGTTCTTTGACATACTACCATCTTGGAGTTCTGCTTTGAAATTCTCTGGCCAATGTCGCAAGTTTTGCTTGTCAGGTAGTTCCCACTCTAAGCAGGGAGGTTTTCCTTGCCATGGTTTCAGCAGATGTGGATTTTAGAGTATTTCAGAATTTTAGATCAAACGATAGAGGCAATTTCTGTTTTATCTTTTTTCTTTACAGTGTTGATGGGGACAGTGTACACGGGAACTTTGTCTAGTGATGGAAAATCTCAGAGACCTTCATCGTCGTGTACTTCGTTTACTTTGAAGAGGATCCATGATCCAATGAGTTCGGTGCAATCGATGGATGCTTCTGCGTTACCACAGATACATATGGATGGTCAAAGCTGTGCTGATGATGATATTGACATTTCAAGGTCCCTTAGGCGCAGAACCTCGGTAAATTATGGGATGTTTGATGGGAGCTCAGGGGAAGAATCAGACACCGAGGAATTTATTAAGGTTTTTATCACATACCTAACAATTGTTTCATAAGCTATTTACAATCAATATTGTATGTTTGTTATTACCTAGGCATGCAATGAGCAACCAAATTCTATTCATAATTTCTAGGGCGAGTCTACCTAGTTTTAAAAAATGAAAAATAAAGGCAAAAAGGTAAAGTATATACAATATAGCTTTCACTTTGTGCAATGTCTTGGGTTCAATTCCTCAGCTGGCACTATTTTTTAACACCTGAAAAAAATAAAGAACAGGTTTGAAAAAGGAAGGCAGCATTTGTTGGCGGGATTTGAACCCCCACCATAAGTCAAAATGACTGTGTACACTACCAGTATGCCCTTTGACCGTATTTGAATTAGAAATGATACATTATTATAAATAACCAAAAAATATTGGCATACATCAAAACTCGCCTCTCCCATTTTGGTGAAGCTGAATAACTCGGCCGAGTTCGAGTGGACTCAGCTGAGTCCAGATACACTGACTACAACTGACCAATTTGTTTTGGAGTTAAGAAGTCTGAGTGGAATCAGCCGAGTCCAGATACACTAACTACAACTGACCAACATGTTTTGGAGTTAAATATACAACAATCCAATGAACTGTGATATACATATTATCCATGAGGTCATCACTTTTTCCGTAAATAATGGATAGTGATTGGGAGAGATTGGACCCACCAAAATGAGACATTGCCCCAATGGTGGGTCGCACATCTCTGCCCATCATTTCATTGGACAAGGATGGGCCCAATGGAGTTTGTTTTACGATTAGCATGTGTGTTTTAGCAATCCTTGGCTGTGTTCTATGGGGAGACAAGTCTACGTTGCTTTGATTATTCCAATGCATATGCCCCTTTGTATGTGAGAGTGAGAGGACGGGGCCCTGCCATGGAACTGATCAGGTGTTTTTTCCTGAAGAATGATACTTTTGTAACTTTATTTTACTGGAGGTAATTGTGTAATATTTTGGAAACCACTTTTGGAAATTTCTTCCATAGAACACCTAACCCCTTTCTATGTAATATTTTCTGAACCAATGGCATTTAGCGCTTCACCCCTTCTATTTTTCATTCACTAGTTGTTTAAGTTAAGAAGGTTTGCACTTGAGGCCTTCTGGTGATATGAGAATTGCTCTTGTGACTTCACGTTTCTGAATGCAGGTACAATCTTCGCAAAGGTGTTTGCCGAAAGGGGTTACTCGAGGATGCATAAACTGCACTGACTGCCAAAAGGTTTAACTGATTTTAAGATCATATGTGTGCAAATGCCTCTTCTTTTTCTCAAAATATGTCTCAAAATGTAAAGTTATATTTGATGTCTTCGAACAGGTATCTGCTAGATGGCGTCCAGAAGAGGCACTAAGACCTATAATCGATGATGCTCCTGTTTTCTACCCAAGTGAAGAGGTCATTTTTATTACTTTTGAAGCACCAATCTAGAGTCAGAGTTAATAATTAAACTTACAAAAGTAGGAATGATTGTTAACAGAGGTTTAAACTAAATTCTTAGCTTTGAGCAATTTTTTTTTTTTTCAAAACATTGGATTAGTAAAGATTAAAATAACCGCGAAAATTTGGGCTGACTTTCCAAGTTATGAAATTTTTTTAAAAAAATTGTATTTAAATTTTGGAGAAGAAAATATATGGGATTACTATTGATTCTGTCCAGTGACTGATCCAAATTATGTACTTCTTTTATTTGGGAAATTGCTTATAGAGTGATTGATGTTTGTCAAATATACTTTGTTAGTGCAGTATTTTATTTCTGAAGAATTTTTCCTTTGCTTTCTCACCAGGAGTTTCAGGATACTGTTGCATACATTGCAAGCATACGTGAGAAGGCAGAAAGATATGGCATTTGCCGTATCGTTCCTCCTCCTTCATGGAAACCTCCCTGTCCCTTGAAAGAGAAGAACCTGTGGGAAAATTCTAAATTTGTCACTCGAGTCCAACGAATAGACAAGCTTCAAAACCGTGAACCTATGAAAAAAAGCCATATGAATTGTGGCAAGAGGAAACGTGGGAGAAGTTCGAAAATGGGGATGACCTTTGGGCCTAACAATTCAGACACATCGGCTGACCAACAACATGGATTTGGTGATGAGGGTAGATTTGGGTTTGAACCAGGTCCAGGCTTTACTCTGGATGCTTTTCAAAAGTATGCTACTGATTTCAAGAAGCAGTACTTTGGTATCCAAAATGGAGCTACAAATACAAGCCCTGGAGAGAGCGAACTTCAAAAGAGTTGGGAACCTTCAATGGAAAATATTGAAGGTGAATATTGGAGGATGGTTGAGAAACCAACTGAAGAGATTGAGGTAAACAAGAGAAATGCTATATACACAGAAAATAACTTGTTTTTGTTGTCTATGTCATTTGTATATGCTATAGGTGTGGTTTATTTATTTTGTTTGAAGTATTCTATTTTTCTATTAGTTTATTCTATAACATCATTATGTCATAAACATGTTGGAAACTTTTATTATATGGATTCCTATATTTTAAGGCCTCTGGGGTTGTCAAATGTTAATATTTGTGCCTATGCAGATCAGTACTTTATATCTGAAAGTCAATATGCACACATGAGTGCATTAAGTTCTTTGTGTCTTGACTGCATGCCATGTGTTTCAGGTGCTCTATGGGGCTGATATAGAAACTGAAGTTTTCGGAAGTGGATTTCCAAAGGCATCCTTGGCAACAGCAGATGCCGAATCTTGTCAATATGTGCAGTCAGGCTGGAACTTAAATAATTTCCCAAGGCTTTCGGGTTCTGTGCTCTCTTTTGAGAAGGATGATATTTCTGGTGTTTTAGTGCCTTGGTTATATGTAGGAATGTGCTTTTCATCATTTTGCTGGGTAGGTGGTGCCATATAATTGGTTATGAATGAGATCAATGCTTTGCAATTCCTGGATAGATAACTTTGTCGCTGCATCATGTTGCTCACACGTCTTTATTTTTGTGCACTTTAAATTTGTCAGCATGTTGAAGATCACCACTTCTATTCGTTGAACTATATGCATTGGGGTGCTCCAAAATTGTGGTATGGGGTCCCAGGAAATAGTGCCTTGCAGCTGGAGAAAGCCATGACGAAGCATTTACCACATTTATTTGAGGAACAACCCGACTTACTTCATAAACTTGTAAGTTCTCATTTGCCCACATTTTGAGGACGTGTGCATATGCATATATGAACACACATGTTTCTTTAAGTAAAGTATATAATTTAAAATACTAGTGACATCAATCATGGCCAGTGGCCTTTAACTCCCACAAAATAAGTATGGGGCATTTTTGTCAGTGCATTGTTCTTCCTCAAGAAAAATGCAAGGTATTAGGGCTGAAAACTGTACTCATTAGTGTATAAATTTTGAATTGCACACTTACACAGGTCCAACTAGTCACTGAACTTCGGTTGAGATCATGATTACTGTTTACCATGCCCATCTACCATGGCTTATTCAGTCATAATTCTTATTTCGACAGGTCACTCAATTGTCGCCTTCAATTTTGAAATCTGAGGGTGTTCCGGTTTATCGCTGTGTTCAACATGCTAGGGAGTTTGTCCTCACCTTTCCTCGAGCATATCATGCAGGGTTCAATAGTGGTTTCAATTGTGCAGAGGCTGTAAATGTGGCCCCAGTTGATTGGTTGCCTCATGGGCAGAATGCGGTTGAGCTTTATTGTGAGCAACACAGGAAGACATCAGTGTCCCATGACAAGCTGTTGTTGGGGGCAGCGAGAGAAGCTGTTAGGGCACATTGGGAACTTCAATTGTTAAGAAAAAACTCATTGGACAACTTGAAATGGAAAAGTGTTTGTGGAAAGGATGGAATATTAACCAACGCCCTTAAGGTATATGTCTTCATCTTTGTTCACCCTTGAGAATGAGAGTATTCATACATGCATTAACAAAGATAAAGTTTCTCATTTTGTACTATTCAGAATGAGAGTATTCAAATGCCTTCACACGTTTCATGCGAAAAAATTTCTTCCAGAAAGATCTTTGATTTGACTCAGTATTATTTTTGCCAGGTTTTGGTACTTGCTTTGGGAAACATTCCCCACAAATTATTATTCCGTTTGTGGTGGTAAATACTTCATGTGGATATAAATTGTTTGGTGTAATTATTCACCCATTTACATCCAAGTTGCACACTATATATTGATGATCCAAAAAGAAGAAAAAATGGAAGTCAGACACTATTGACTGGCATTTCTGTGTGTGTATGTGTGTGTGAGAGAGAGAGGCTTGATGGATAAGGGGATTGGAATCTATGCAACATTCCTTATATCTTAAAAATTGAATTTTTTTTTTTTGGTCGTTTTGTTTTTTTATGTGTAGGATCGTGTTGAGTTGGAACGTGTAAGGAGGGAATATCTTTGCAATACTTCACAAGGGAAGAAGATGGATGCCAACTTTGATGAGACAACCGAGCGAGAATGCTTTACTTGCTTTTATGATCTGCATCTCTCTGCCGCAGGATGTGAATGTTCTCCAGAACGTTTTGCATGCTTGAATCACGCAAAGCAACTATGCCAATGCCCTTGGGATAAGAAATTCTTCCTCTTCCGCTATGAAATGAATGAGTTAGGAATACTTGTGGATGCCTTAGTAGGGAAATTAAGTTCTATATACAGATGGGCAAACATGGATCTTGGCCTGTCCTTGAGCTCCTATGTAAATAAAGATGTCGAACCTCAAAAATCTAAACCGCAAACTACTTCAGAAGAAGCACAACATAAAGATGTATTGATCGTGAAAGATGAAAATTCTCTTTGTTCCCGTGGTAAGGGAGAAATTCCTGAAATAAAGAATGGACCATTGGTTTCAAGCTTGAGCTTACAAGAATCGAATACATCCTCTTCACCTCTAAGAGCAGGAGTAGAGAATCAAAACTCCAAGTCCGTAGAAAAGTGCTCAGGTGCAGATCAATCCTATGCAGAAGCCCCAGTTTGTGGGCCTTTACAGGAAAACTTATCACAACCGGTTGTGATGCGAAGCAATCTAGAGAACCCAGTTAGTAATGAAATAATGGTAAACAAAACTTCGTTCTCTAGGAAAGTTGATCTTATACTTATTGATGATGAGGGAGGAAGTGAAGAGCAAGATAGCTCACATATGGACTCAAAGAAGGTCCCCCCACCAATGAAGGTTGCAGAGCATTCTGAAAGGTTGATGCATTGTGACAATACTGTAGGTTCTACTGATTTTAAATGCAACCTAGTTGCTTATTCACCAGGAACTAATGCGTGCCCTATGATCAAAGAGGAAGTTGAATGGCTATATACTTGTATGCAAAAGCTGAATGGTTTATCACATCGAAAGAACATGGATTTTGGAGGCCAAATAAAAGATGGAATGTACAGGGAGAATGATTGTATGAAACCCAATCATAGTTACTCGTCTTTCCCACAGAAACTTGGCAGTGATCAAATTTCCTTTCAGTTTCCTCCTGAAAAGGATGCAGATGGATTTTCACCCATTAGAGAACCCAATTATAATTATAAAGTTGGCATGGGCGTTGGTGAAACATGCCCCCATATTCAGCCACCATATGTCTTTGCAAAATCAAATGAAGTCGGTAAACGTGAAGGTACGGCGTATAACATGTGTTCGAGACCTACAGATAATGGACCAAAGGCGCAATCTTCTGTTGGGCCAATCCCATCCTGTGTGATGGACGATTCAACAAGAAGTTCTGGCCAAAAGGGTCCTCGCATAGCTAAAGTGTTGAGGAGGAGCAATTACAACATTGAGCATTTGGATTATGGAGTTGTGCTACCTGGAGATTTATGGTGTTCTAGCCAAGCTATATTTCCTAATGGTGAGGGAATATTCAATTGTTTTGAGAACTTGATTGATGCATTATCCACTCCAAGTTTCACGCGAGGCCAATGTTGCCATGAAGTAAAGGTTTTTATTTGGCTGGAGCATGTTTGATGAATCTCAATACCTTCCATTTTTCATTGTTCTCTTGTTTCTCTTATGACTTTTGCAGGATTTAAAAGCCGAGTTAGATTTTTAAGTGTGTTGGATCCAACAGAAACGTGCTACTATGTTTCAGAAATTCTGGATGCGGGAACTGATGGGCCTTTATTTAGGGTTTGTAGCCTTCCAATCCTATGTAAATAAATACTCTGAGAAAGACAGAGATAATATTGGACAAATAACAGAGAGAGAGAAAGTAAGTACTGCTGAAAAAAATGAAGGATTTATGTACCTTATTGGCATTTTACTATGAGAGAGGGATTATAGTTGGAGAAATACGTGAAGGGTTTATAAACTATACTGATGTTAAGACTTATAAACAGTTTGGTAACAGCTCCTCAACCATCGAATGTCAATAATGGATGGTTGAGGTATCTTGTTCCACAGCTCAATGTCTGTCAATTTTTTTGATGGACTTGGTCAAAGTCAATCAAATTTTGGCAGACTTTGTGCAGAAGAATGAGGCGAGGTGCCTCAAGTATCCATCTTTGAGATTGGACGTTTTAAGCATACGATTTTAATGCCATTATACAATTTTATAATTGAAAGCTAGTAGTTAAATCGTTGTGTTCTTATTGGTCATTTCTTCGAATCAGGTTACAGTTGAGCACTGTCCAAGTGAGGCTTTCATACATACATCTCCTGGAAAATGCTGGGACATGGTGATAGAAAGACTGAATCAAGAGATTATGAAGCATAGAACCCTTGGGAAGACAAACCTCCCCCATTTACATCCTCCTATAAATGGACTAGACATGTTTGGCCTCTCCTTTCCAGCCATTGTTGAGGTTAGTGGGTTTAGCTGGTATTCATTGCTGAAGCAAATTCACTCTAGTGTTTTCTTTCTTTTGTGCTGGTGACGGATACAATGAAAATGTGGATTCACTGAGGAATGAAATTTATAGATAAGTTGACTAAGAAAAAGAAATTTATAGATAAATAGATACTAGTGAGGAAGAAATGAGCGAAGAGAATAATAACAGAATATTATCAATAAAAGTACCATGGATATTTAATATACTAGTGAGGAAGAAATGAGCAAAGAGAATAATAACAGAATATTATCAATAAAAGTACCATGGATACTCAATATAGATGAATCATCTGTTCGATAAAAAAATGACATAATGCCTTCACTATTAAGATTTCTATGAAATCCCCCTTGTACCACTGTGAAATCTTTAATATTTTAAAACTTTATGTTTGGAATGAACATACATATGTATGTGTCGCATGCAAGTGCATATGCGGGAGAGAGAGAGAGAGAGTCTCAATTGTTCTCTTATACTCTAGTTATTATCTGACAGGCCATAGAGGCACTTGACTATGATCGTGTGTCCAAAGCGTACTGGCGTTCAAGGTTACATAGGGACCAAGTTCCGGAAAGAGTAAAAGTCCCTGCCGTAGCTCCTAAACATTTAACCCCAATCTTAAACTACGAACCAAAGAAAGCAGTTAGGATTGATGTCAATAACCAAGGAGGCCTTAACCAGCCCTCAATGGATCCTGTTGAAATCATTTGTAGTAACTTGTTCAAGAAAGCCAACATGGAAGAACTACAGATGATGAAAAGCGTGCTTGCCAGCGAATTTCGAAGCCCGAAATGGAAGACTGCCTTTTTAGCTCTTATGAAAGAGATGAAGAGAAGATAGTGCAGTTCCGGTTGGTCACTTCAAGGTGATCATTTCACAGGGAAGCTGTCCTCATAATTTTTTGTCGTCTCAATAATTTTTTGTAACATGATTTTGTAAGTGGAGCATCATTATGCTTCTAGCTCATGTTCATAGCCTTCACCTTGTAAATTAGTTCTCTCTTATAATGAAATATCCATTGACAAAGAATAATTGAAGCAGCCATGATTGGATAACGTATACTATGCTGTTTTATTTGTGGAACAAGGACAGTTGCATAATTAAAGAAGCCATGTTTGGGGTTACTTATACTATCCTGTTCTATTACTGGAATAAGGAGAGCGTGGTTCATTTCTCTCTCTCTCTCTCCCATGTGTGTTGTGAAAGACTATGTTCATGGAGAGAAAACTGTCACCCATGTAACATAGACACGTGTGTTCTAAGTTTTTGTGTTTAGTTTTTTGTGCAGTGATAACCAAGAACGATATTATTGTGTTTTGTACTTTACACACCTAGTGATGTCATCTTAATTTTTCTCTTTGAAATCTCACTATAAAAAGTACTTAATGTCGTTTAAAGTTTCATCTCAGATGGGGTATGAATGTGTGTATCCTATATATCATTTTTGCTAACTTCTTGTATTTGTGTAGGACATGAAAAAGTTGAGTGGGTTAGAAAGTTGTGGGTGAGGCCAGGGAAAAATAATGGCTTGAAAACAACAAACAATTATAAAGAGAAAGTGTTCTATATGCCACTAGGCATAGTGAATTAGATCAGAATGAATGGTTAGGACCCTTCAGCCATAATATCATAAGTGAGCCCTGATTTGTCTAAATCTAGCGACGTAGAATATTTTATTTTTAATTTTTTTCGAACATGAAATTTAGTAGGTGTGATCATCTCAAATGGCGCACCTAAAAATATTAGAACATAATTTTCATACAAATAAAATGACTGAACTACCCTTAGAATATTCAAATGTGTTTTGGTCATTCTTTAAATATATTTTTAAATGTTTTTCATAAATAAGATTTCTATAGAAAAATAAAAGGATGTGGTTTT